TTGCACTCATTGGTTTTAGTAAGGGTCCATGACCAACACTGGTAGAATAAAGTTGGCTCCAAAAAAGAAAAACTTTACTGGATTTGCCTTGGCAGACAAAAGAACACCTTCATGTGTCAAAAGTGGTGTTAGTTGTCCCAGCACCTGGTTTGTTTGAGCACACTGTATATTGATTTCTCTATCCATTTCTCCTTCTGAAGTGAAACCTGACCCTAGACATTTAAATCCTGTTGGTTCTTTTATCTTTCTCATTTACTTTTATTGATACTGATGAAAAGGAACAGAAAAAAAACTACATTTGAAATGTGCTGTCTCTAGAAACAACATAAGAAGGGACAGGGTTATGAAGACCAGATTTTGAGAGAGAAATGTACAATAAAACCATGCCTGAATTATATTGACAGACAAAGAATGAAATGGTTCAGCCATCTAGTGAGAACGCACACAGACCCAACTGCAAATGAGAATTTTTTTTTTTTACAGCAAAACGTCTGCGTGGAAAGGTGACAGGAAGACCAAGAAAGAGAAGGATGAACGGTGAGGGTGAAACCTGAAAAACGATGAATAAATCCATCACTCAAGTCACCCAAAAAAAGCAGGATGAAAACCACAACACTAGGCTACAACCTGTTATCAGTGAGCGACAAAATGAGAAACAGACGTGGTTTTAATTTATACTACTCAGGAACCACTGTGACGATTTTTGACTGCTAATTTATTCAGTATAACCAGACACCACATGATCGCATTTGATTAGGTGTTTAAAAACAAGATTATATTACTAATGAAACTGGAGTGGTATAGGGCAAGAAAAAGATATCAATAGTAATCATAAAGCGCTAGTTTAAATGTGGAAATACTGTCATTAATATTTCAACAAACAATCAAGACTGTTTTGTCAAATGAAATATGATTAAAGTTTGAAGTTTGAATAACGGATCAACATCATGGCACACAGGTAGTAACCCAAAAGGGTCCATTCTTCTTCTAACTCAAGTCTGAGTCCGAAGAAGCTCAGCACAGTGCACAGGCTCTGTAGCACCCACGAGGATCCAGAAATACTTTGGGTGGATTTTTAACTCCAAATTTTGCCCAGGCAGCGCCGCTAGGCTACTCTCTTTGATTTCCAATTGCCATGGAATTTTTTATGTGCGCGACAATGCACACGGGTGTTCGATCTCATTACCTAGAGACCAGGAGGAATAACTGAAGTTAAAGTCCACGTGAAAAAATCCCAGCCCTTTGATTAAAGTTTAAATAAATATTCAAGAATTTCTTGTAGACATTAATATCTCACTGTAAAGTACACATTTAAAATTTGAATAGAATTATCTAGTAGGATTTTTCTCTTTCTCTAAATATTTCAAATTTGAATAGAATTTTCTAAAATGATTTCTCTCTTTCTCACTCCGCCTCCCATGGCACGGTGATACTGATCACAGGTGTGAGAGAAAGATAAGGCCATTGTGATGTGTATAAGGAGTTACTCTGTACCTCATCTTAGGCACCAGCCGGTTCTTGGATGGTTTTAGGGATCCTCGCGCAACACTTCTGCGGCCTGTCCCCATCGTGCACCACAGACAAGAGCTCACCCTTGTGACCTGATCGGAGTTAGCATGGGATCTTGGAGTTGGTGGCCCCTGGAGATGTAGTGTCTAGCCTGGCTCACATCATCCCCCCTCTCCCCCAATGGATAGGTGAAAAGGGCTACCAAAGCTCATTAGGAACATGTGTTAAGTCTGCTGGTCCAAAATACTACTAAATGACAACTCTCTGTTAAAACACCTGTCGATTAGGAAGAACAACTGTACTGCTGAGATTCAGCAAGAAAAAACACACAAAAAGCAAGAGATGTGCTCGCAGCCTGGACTTGCAATCTCTTGCAGGTAGTAACTTGTGGAACAATGTCCTGTCTCAGAACAACCCTTGCTGTTCCTCAACCTTGTCATCACTGCATGGGGTACAACATGACAAACTGTCAGTGTGCTGGTTTGGCTGAAATGTCCATCTGATGCATGTCCTATGGCATAAAAACAAAGTCCCTAACATCCAACCGAAAATGGTTCTACTAACTGACAGAACGGCTCACATGCCCGTTACTACTGGCCCCCAGAGTGTAGAAAAAGGAGAGCCGTGCTAAATGTATGCTTTTTCTGCACTGTCTTGCTAAGTCTCCAGATGAATCAACATTAAAGGTGTCAAATACGCTGAAGAAAAATGTATCTATTTGTGTGGCCATCAATGTCCCAGTCCTACGGGCTGCTCCCTGCTGATCTCCAGTGGGTGCAGCAGGTGACGATTGGAAAGCCCACATACGGATGTGAGAGTAAGCAGATATGTGCAGGGTGTGACAATTCCTTGGGTGATTCCAGCACCAGTGTCATGTCTCACTCTGCATGTATGGAAGCCTCCTTGGATGGTGGAGAATGCCAATGATCTGCCCCTGCCTTCCTTTGAGGGCTGACCTGCCTACCTGTGAATGCCCTGGACATGGTCTCCAGGGGCAAGACCTGTGGATATGGGGACAAAGAGAACATCACACAGATAAGGCCACGATATGTCCACGATCCCCGAATCTATCCGGGAAGTTAACAGGGTCAACAAATGCTCAATGAAGTCGGATGTTTCAGACAAAAGGCGCACATATGGCTGCCTGAGTTAATGAAAGTGAATTTTTGTGTGTGTGTCTGAAAGCAAGAAAATCAACAGCAGTAGAAAAACTCACTTTGGACAAGGTAGATATTCTGAGGACAATTTTTTATAAAGAAAGCTGCTGGAAGACGAAACATGTGTAAGGTGTACATCTGGAATTAAGTGTGAATCCAGTAAGAATACCTTAAGGCAGTGTTTCTCAAACCTTTCTTGGATGAGGCACCTTTTTTCAATTTAAATTTGTCCACTGTGCCCTAACCTAAGTAAAAGTATTACTATTCGTATGTAAGAGATTTTGAAAAAAAAAAAAAAACTCGTGTATCTTCAAATATCGCGACCCCCCTGTGAAAAGGTCCTGGCTCCCCTGGGGTGCCACGGTGCACAGTTTGGGAATCATTCTTTTATAACTTGAGTTTGCATGTAAATTTGATTTTACAGATCTGGCTAATGTGTATGCAGACTGGTGGTTCCTCACCTCTCAGGCAGATGCACTCTGACTTTGAAGGAAACTCCCCTTATTAGTCCCCTCTTATGACACGCTTCTTAGGCAAGCATTAGGTCTTTTCACTTGCCCGTCTCCCCCTTTTTTCCTTGGGGCACCACTCTTTGCACGAAGCTCTGGGTCAGTTAAGGGTCAGCGGCTGATAAGAGGGAATTCATGGATGGCTCAGACAGAAGACACAATCAGACAGGTTTGCATCATTGAGAATATTAGGCGAGGAGAGGAGTGTTGGGAAATAAACAGGCGGACAGACTGGCTGGCTCTGCACAACTTGATGGAATAATGATACATGATAAGGCAGACGTGGTTAGTGCCTTGTGGGAGAGCGTGTACAGTTCGGAGAAGCAGATGGATCACCACAGTCTGGTGAGATTGATGCAGGGGGGAGTGACAAGAGGTTCTGGCAGATGCTCAAGGCTCAAAGGAAAGGCAAGACGGACGTTTAATCAGAATGCTACTGGCACCATTAGTATTGAAACTCTTTGCTGGCTGCTGAAGATGGGGACGGAGCGCTTATGGGAGTATCCCGAGTGCTGTGATGTCAGTTCTTGAATCAAATCAAATCAAAAATTCCCCCCCCCCCCCCCCCCCCCCCCCCCCCATAGGCCCCAGAATTCTCACATAGATTTAACTCAGTAAGGCACATATAATTAAAAGAGAGACGTAATAATGAGAAATGTATATAATAAGACAGACATAGCATGAAATTAAAAGGAAAGAGTCAAAAACCACATATATAATTTATAAGACAGACAAAACCTTAAGACCTATAAAATAAAAAGACAGACATAACCTTAAGACTTAAACAACAAAAAGAAAGGCATAACTTTAAGACCTATACAATAAAAAGACAGACACAACATTAAGACTTAAACAATAAAAAGACAAACATAACCTTAAGACCTATAAAATAAAAAGACAGACATAATCTTAAGACTTGAACAATAAAAAAAAAAAAGACTTAAGACCTATACAATTAAAGGAGAGATGTAACCTTACGACCTACACAATATTAGGGCAGACATAATTTTAAGATCTACACAGTAATGAAACAGACATAATTCTAAGACCTATATAACAATAAGACAGACACAATCTTATGACCTACACAGTAATAAGACAGACATATTTCATCAGGTGTATACTAAAATAACGATTAAAATGAAGCAAATAAATGAATCCTTTCAACTGAAACACAAAATCCACTACATTCAAAAGTAATCCGGTATTGCAATTTTGCACTTTATTCTAAACAATCAATCAAGACAGAATACAAAATCACGAAATCAGATAAATGCTAGAAATAAAGCCAGTCTTACAGGTCATCACAGAACAACAAATGAAGTGGTTTGGACACCTAAAAAGAATGCCCTGGTACTATCTGCCATAGTGAGCCACACTAAAACATTACAATGGGTATAGAGCAAGTGGAAGACCTCGGAAAATATGGAGTGATAACATTAAGAACAGCCTTACAGAAATGAACATCAGTCTTAATAGTGCTCTTGACAGAGCTCGTCAACGAATATTACATCTCCCCCCGACACTTTGTTGAGGTACAAGGTGGAAGAGAGGAAGAAGAAGAAGAATCAATCCAGTTGCTTCACTGTTAGCTGTGAGAGGCAATGTTGCAGAAAAATCAAAGCAATGTTTCCCAGTTATGAATTTAAACAAAGACACAAACAACAGATTGCACAATGTTTTTCCTGGCATATTTTGATGCATCTCGTCAGGTATATACTATGGAAACAACTGATTAAAATGAAGCAAATAAAAGAATGCTTCCAAATGAAACACAATATCCAGATATAATCTAAAGACACACACACACACACACAAAACTTACATCAAACAGAAAGATCTTGGCTATGAGAACAGCACAGCTCATGGCTGTGCACAACTGGGGGGAAAGAAGATTTTTAAAAATAAATTTCATACTTAAATGTTACTTTGCCATATTTCTATCACAGTACAACATAATTTCTGTTTTCTTATAATTTCTTTTTCTAGTTCACAGGCTGTAAACTCCAGCAGAAAGTTCTGGTTGTTTGTCCACCTCTCGACTTTAGTCTTGACCAGAAACAGTGCTGCGTGCACATTCTGTTTACAGATCTGACTTATTTGTATGCAGACTGTTGGCTCCTTGCCTCTCAATCAGATGCCCTCCAACTTCAAATGAACACGTTGGACGTCATGTAACAATCCCCATGTGTGTCCAGTCTCAGGTTCGAGCCAGGGTGTGGCAGAAAAGCCGCCTACTCCCAGATTAACGGTGTACATGGCGCCGAGGCTGAATGGCTTTGATGCTCATGACACTAAGCCAAATGAGCTATGCTCGAGCGCTTCTGGTTAATTGTTAACAAACAATGGAGTTCATGTTTAACAACATGTGTCCAGACATGACTTTTCTTTGCAAAGTACTCACAGCAGGTTATCAATTTCTTTCTATGAAACAATACCTTGACTTGGTGGATTGTCTTAGCCATTGTGTCTACAGAGGCATCCTTTGCCTGTCGGTTGTCCGAGTCATTGAGTCTACACAGGTATCCATTGCATGTCAGTTATCCTAGTCACTGTGCATACACAGACATCCTTTGCCTGTTGGTTATCCTAGTCACTATGCCTACACAGGCATCCTTTGCCTGTCGGTTATCCTAGTCATTGGGCCTACACAGGCATCCTTTGCCTGTCGGTTATCCTAGTCATTGTGCCTACACAGGCATCCATTGCCTGTCGGTTATCCTAGTCATTGTGCCTACACAGGCATCCTTTGCCTGTCAGTTATCTTAGCAATTGTGCCTACACTGGCATCCTTTGCCTGTCGGTTATCCTAGTCATTGTGCCTACACAGGCATCCTTTGCCTGTCAGTTATCCTAGTCATTGTGCCTACACAGGCATCCATTGTCTGTCGGTTATCCTAGTCATTGTGCCTACACAGGCATCCTTTGCCTGTCAGTTATCCTAGTCATTGTGCCTACACAGGCATCCATTGTCTGTCGGTTATCCTAGTCATTGTGCCTACACAGGCATCCTTTGCCTGTCAGTTGTCCTAGTCACTGTGACTACACAGGCATTCTTTGCCTGTCAGTTGTCCTAGTCATTGTGCCTACACAGGCATCCATTGTCTGTCGGTTATCCTAGTCATTGTGCCTACACAGGCATCCTTTGCCTGTCGGTTATCCTAGTCATTGTGCCTACACAGGCATCCATTGCCTGTCAGTTATCCTAGTCATTGTGCCTACACAGGCATCCTTTGCCTTGCACAGTTCAATTGGTGACAAGTCCTGTTCACTTTTAAGCTAGTTGAGGAAGATATAATGTTCTGCTTTTTGCTCTTCTGGCTGCTTTTACTATAGACACGATGTACCGTTGTAGAATTTCTTTGATGTTATCTTTCTATTTTGTTCTTGGTCTACCTCACGCTCTAAGTCCTTCTACTCTTTTAGTATATGCCTTATACAGTTTGGCGTCACAAGAAATTGTCTCTAAGTCGGGAAATCATTTGATTTGCTGTCTTTTAGAACAGGTTATGTGCAGACTTAGTCTCTTTTGACCTCATTCCTGATTTTATTTCTTCTGGTCACTCTTGCAGCCCTTCCCAGACATCTCATTTCCAAGGTTACTTTCAGTGGTGACCGGCACTGAAAACTTTTCAGCTGCTCACAACTTTTATTTATCACCTTTCTGTCATGACTTCATGTAACTCTAATCCGGGGTGGGGGAAGCTAAGTGAGTACACTCATCAAGCACATTCAGGTGTGTGGAGTAATAAGCAAACTGATAGACTGGCTGCTGCCTCTTACCCCCCCCCCCCCCCAAACTCTGGGCAGTGAGCTACTTTATGACAAAGTGATGAAGGCTCTGTAGGATCAAACGGACTGTGCAACAGAACATTATGAGAATCCATACATTGAAAGACTAATTCAGTGGGATGTGTGGAGAGGTTCCGGATGATATTTAACACCAGGGGTGGAGGGCAAGGATAGCGGTTTTTTAACTCTTTCAGTCCTAAGGCTTAGCATCAGAGGCCCAAGCGTGGTAGAAAAACACGTATAATTGGTGCATCTTGCTTTCATTGGGCTTCTAGGGTAGGAAGGTATGATGCATTCCTTGAAACTGAAAGAGTTAATCAGGTTACAACTGGTATTATTAGCATGTTGCCTTTGACTCTTTTTGGGCTACTGAGAAAAGGAATGGAGCACATGTGGGAATGTCCATATGGGAGTTCGGTGATTAATTCTTAATTCATTTTTAGGGGCTGCGTGGTCTCGAGAAATGGCGTCCGGCTCGAGTGTTGGAGGTCCCAGGTTCAAGCTGGGATTTTTTCATGCGGACTTCTAGTAATTTCCCCTTGTCTCTGGGTAGTAAGATCAGACGCCCGTGTGTATTGCTGCGCATGTAAAAAAAAAAAACCTTGGCAGTTGGAAAGTGAAAAAAAAGTAGCCTAACAGCGCTGGAGTCAAAAATCTACCCAAAGTAGTTCAGGATCCTCACCGGTTCTACGGTGTTCGTGCACTGCACTGAGATTCTTCGGGCTCGGGCTTTGTGTCAGAAGTAGAACGGAGCACTTATGGGTTACTACCCTTGTGCCATGATGTTGATCCGTCATCTAAACTTAAACCTAAAAATAATCCTTTATTCCTTCTCCTCTAGCCCACGAGATGACCTGAAGGCTACAGGGGCATAGTGGGCACCTTTCATCTCCTTTTGATAAGGTGTACCCTCTCCAGATACCCTGTGCTGTGTGGCATCTGTCCGTCTTTCCAGATGATAGTGTTATACTGTGCTATGAGGAGGCATGAGACTCACAGCCCATGGTGAGTGTGACTAGCAAGACCTGCCTGCGTTAAGAACAGTTTTCCACAATAACAGCATTATATTTCAGGACCGTTGTTGCCATCACCTGTGTTCAGTGAACTACTTCTCAGGTGCTCAGCTCTCATCCTTTCTGCAATAATTGTTTCCTTTATTCTCAATCCCTTCCTGATTTTTTATTCCCTCCATGCAGTATGGACGACAACATTTTGTGCTAACATGTCTACCTGAATATCTGTATCATTCATGTCCCACTTGCACACATCTATATACTGTAGCAGAGGCTGACCTCGACAACTTCCAGCCATCTGTAGTTTATCATAGAGGATGTCCTTAGGGGCTTTACCATCCTGCATTCTCCAAGTGTGACCAAGCCACCTGAACCTCTGGAGACTGAGCATTGAGAAAACTGTATGATGACAGTATCAACTAAATGCTGCAGATTTGGTTCATTGTTCTCAGTTCAACTCTTTCCCAGGAAACAACCCTAGATAGTCAACTTGTACCAAATACTTGTTGGGAGCAGCAGGTCTATTACCCCCCCCCCCCCCCCCCGCACCCCAAATGGGGTTCTAGAACCCACACAACACGCTAAAACTCAACATGTTAAAAGCCACTGAAGAAAGACTGAATTGAGCAATACTTTTCCCTTCTAAAATTTAAAAAAACATACCGCCACTGTCCACCAATGATTAATCCGAAACAAAGCATAGGCTAATATCAACAGGGTAAACCGCACCGCAGACAGCATCTGTCACACACACAAAAAATGAAAAACATGAAACCTTATTAATAATAAAATGCAAACAAAAATAATAAATTTCAAAAAATAATTTAAAATCTGTTTATACAGTAAGCTTTTATTTAAGATGCATTAAATAATTAATGCACACACACACAAAAAAACCAGACAAAACTAATTTACCATGTACTTTAATGGACACAGGAGTTAGATTTTTATCTTTACAAAATTCATCTAAAATTTAATTTTACAACTTAAAAAAAAATAACGTATGGGGCACCTAACTAGCAATTTATAATATTCGACTCATCAAAGTATAAGTCGTTAAATGTATACATTTGACTCATTTGTTATGTATACTTCTTCTTCTTCTTAGTCGCTCCTCTTCTACCTTGGGGTGTAGAGGTTTGCCAGAGAGATCGCCAGACGTCTCTATCAGCAGTTTTCTTTCTGGCTTTGTTCCATTCCAGTCCTCTGTCAGTCAGGGACTGTCGGATGTTGTTTTCCCAGCGCACCCTGGGTCGTCCCGGAGGTCTGGTTCCCTGGTTCTTAGCCTCCCATGCTTGCCATGGTGGCCGATTTTCTCCCATTCTGCACACATGTCCAAACCATCGTAACTGTGACTGATCCACTCGGGTTAGTAAGGGCTGGGTATCAAGATCTTGACGTATTGTCTGATTACGGACTTTGTCCCTTCTTGTCACTTGGACCACCTTTCTCAGGTATCTCATTTCCGAGGCCTGCAGCTGGCTTCTGTGAGCTGTTGTCATTGCCCATAACTCACACCCATAGGTCAGGACTGGTACATAGGTAGAGCGGTAAACAGACATTTTCGTCCTCTTGCCAATTTCTCTTTTGCTAAGAAACCCTCGGTTTATGGCCTGGGAGACTTTAAATTAGAGGTATATTTCTATGAAAGGCGTCCCGTGCTTTTATTAGTCAGAAAGTGCTGACTGTTTTACCCCTTTCAGACTTTAGTCTTGTTCCAGAACTTGAGTTATGCATACACATCCATTTAACAGTCTAGCTTATTTATATGCAGACTGTTGGTTCCTTGTCACTCAGTCGGCTGCATTTCAACTTTAAAGTAAGACAACATATCATTTCTTTATATCTGACACTGTTGCATTAAAAATTGGTGTCATTAAAAAAAAAAAATGTGAATAATTTTGCATCAGAATGCACTGTCCTCCACAAAGCATGTTTGTGCAAAAATTCAGCTCAATAACTTATCCTGATAAACAATCTCATTCAAATTTCTGTCCCCCCCCCCCCCCCCCCCCCCCCCCAAAAAAATATATATATATATAAAAGCATCCTTAATAAAAGCTTATAATGACCCTGCTTTGCATGGTCTCCACGAGTACATTGTGGCCGGCGGAAAGTCCGTGCTACAAGTGACAGCACGAGATAATTGGGTCTAGTCGAGGAAGCAAGGGGAAGCCCAAGCTGGACTCGTGGTCAGTTGATCATCAGAAGTGAGAGAAGACGGTAGCATTTTCTTAGAGTAGTTTTAATATTGCGCGAGGTACTAGTGTTTGAATATGTTGCGTGCGAGAGAAGTATAATTAATTGTGGAAACATGTGGAACAAATGTGACCGAATAAACTGACAGTATGTACCAAGAAGCTGAGCGGCGTTTGTGTTGTCAAGCCTAGACGTTAAAGCAGTGCAAGTTTTGTAGCAGTAAACATCCAGAGAGTGAGCCAGGGCGAAAGCCAATAGGTAGTAAGCCAAAGTGCAATCCAAGTCAAGCCAAGGTTTATTATATATATATATATATAAAAGCATCCTTAATAAAAGCTTATAAAAACATCTGTCTGAATAGCTTATTAAAATCCACATATGGCTTTAGTCATCACATCTATCAACACTGTTCTGTCTTGTTCAATACACTTTATTGCTCATGTAGATGTCGTGTCATGATATCCAATTGTCAATCATCTTCTTCCTTGAGCTACCCCTGTTTTCGTCCACTTTAAATTACAGATCTTGCTGAGTTTGTGTAACTGAAACCTTTAGTCTGAAACAGCTGTTCATTGAAAAACAAAAACTTCAAAAGCATATTTTCCACTGTAAACTTGAAAAGACAAGAAACAAAAAACAGATTGAAAAATATATTTTGCTGCATCTATTCAAGCAAACATTAGAGAAGTAAATAAGATGCAAATAATTAATTGTATGCTTGACATTACCCTGATAATACCTGGCATGCAACGTCTGCAACTGTGACATATGAGAGGAGTGTGTATTTAAATCTCAGTTTAAACAAAAAAAAAAGATTTGGCCACAATATGTGAAGAGAACAACTGGAATATAATGTGATGATCGCAAGGATACATGACAAAAAAAGGAAAAACAAGAAATTAACAAATGTTGATATGAAATGTCAAGAAATTCAAATATCTGGGAATAATATCAGATGGAAAATGTGTGACAGAGATTAAAATGCTGCATTTCAGAAAATGAAAAATATCTTATGCAATAAGTTGCTCTCATTTAATGTCAGAAAGAGGGTGCTAAAATGTTACATAGAACCTGTTCTGCTGTGTGGCAGTGAATCTTGGAATGTCAGTGAACAAATTAGGAAGAATTTGGAAGCAACAGAGATGTGGTTTCTGAGACGAATGTTATGAATACCTTGGACAGCCAGAGTAACTAACAATGATTGCTTCAAAGAAGCTAATGAAAGTAGATCTTTATATACAACAATAAGATAGAAACAAACACTGTTCTTTGGCCACACAGTGAGAAGAGAGACATTGGAGAACATCATGACAACTGGAAAGATAAGTGGGAAAAAAGGTAGATGCAGACCAAGAGAGATGATGCTGGATGGGCTGAAAAGATAGCATGGAGGGATATCATCAATAGAGCTGTTCCAAGCAACCAGGGATCGTGATCTGTGGAGACGCATGAGCGCCTACGCAAGTTGGCAGGGCACATGATGATGAGGATGATGGCCTTTTGTCATGGCGAATGAAGCCGGACTTTCTTTTCAAAAATAGGCTGGCTTCCCAGCTCGACCAAGCTTTAAACGAGTAGCAGGTAAAGTCCTGGGAGGTAAAGGTGGCTGGTGTGATGTTGACAACATCACCTGCTAAGTGCAAAATGGTGTATAAAATATAGGTCTAGCACTATATAAGCAATAACCAATACAATGTAATAACAAAGAAACACGCAAACACTTCAGTAATGGCTGAACAACGGGAGGGTGCTCAAATAGATGAACCATAAAAACCATAAAAGGACCAAGGCCCAGACTTGGACAAGCAGGAAAGGACACCATAAAATGGATAGGGACACTAAGCTTTTCAATATGGCACACAAACCCAGTTTCAGCCAACAACATCTGGCACAAGAAAGCAGTCACAATTATAACCAAAAGCTCCTTTTTCGGAAGAAGCCAGGTGAATGTGACGATTTTCTGCTTTGTTTTCCCCAAGACAGACAGACCTACAGACAGATATATACGCAATACACCAGACAGCGTGGAATGGAATCCTTTACTTACTTTTGCTGTTACCATGACAACACGGGAAATGTGTCGGCACACTAATTTCCCAATATGGGTTCTGGGCCCAACTTGGGGGAGAAAAAAGAATAGACTCACTGCCATTTAACCGTAGTCGGTATTACCTGTTTCCTGTTAACGCTGAATTTTGGGCAGCATTTACTAAACCTGACATCCCACATTAGGGAGGATACTAGCCTTATCCTAAGAAGAGGAAAAACAACCTGAAAAGACCAGGCCTTTTAGCTCCAACAGGTTGACAGACTGAGTACTACGATTCTTATCTGGCAGCTTCTTCATTGTGCTTTGTTCCAGACGTACTAGTGTTACCTTTCCTTTTGAGTAAACATGGCAGACCGAAGGAGGAATCATGCTGCATGAGCAATGCATGGTCTCTACACAGGCTTTTTGCTGTGTTTCAAACATACTAGTGTTACCTTTCCTTTGGAGTAAACAAAGCAGACCGAGGGAGGAATCATACTGCATAGGCAATGCATAATCTTTACAATACTACACACTACCACACTACACTACACAGACAAAGCATGGAAGCCAGCCTCATCAATCAACTGTTGTTAGAAGACACAAGTGCATGCTGGGTATTTTTTGCTGAATACAGTGAAAATAGGCATGCTTCGTGCAGAGTGGCAAAAGGTCCCGGGCAATTAACATCCTGTGGATATTTTTCGAAAGTCATGCAGGTGTGTTGGGAAATAAGCTGGCAGATAGACTGGCTGGCTCTGCACTACTTGGTGGTGAACTGATGTATGACAAGTTAGATATTGTGAGGGCCCTTTGGGAGCGAGTAAACAGTGAGGAGGCGCAGAAAGATCATTGCGGTCTAAGGAGAATGGCGCTGCAAGAAGTTACCAGGGGATCTGGCCGACACACAACACTCAGGAGAAGGATGAGACGGATATACAATCAGACGGTTACTGGTACCATCGGAATTGGAACTCTTCGCTTGCTGCTGAAGATGGGGACTGAGCACTTATGGGAGTATCCCGAGTGCTGTGATGTTGATTCTTAATTCAACATTCTACAATACTACACAGGCTTTGTGTTATGGAAAACAGCAACATCATCCTTAGCCTTAACTGGTTGATTCAAATGGCTCCCTTTAGCATAATATAACACTATTATCTGGAAAGAAGGAAAGGTGCCAACAACGGCTGAACAGGGTTTCTGGGATATGTTTCTGTTGGATTTTCATCAGAATAGTATTGCTTTGAGTCACTGGGTATAAATCTTTCAGAAGAAAATCCTAGAGTGGACATTTATTTTTAATGCTATAATAATCCGATTCTATCTTCAATATTCACAGTAACAATGCAACTGCCATAGATAAATATTTACCACAGTATCAAACAGCGATGTCTGGAAACTATACTGCCGTACTTGTGTTTCAAAAGCATGGAAGCCAGCCTCACCAATCAACTGTTGTTGGAAGACACAAGTGCATGCTGGGTAATTTTCATTGAATACTTTAGCCCAGTGTTCTACAACCGGTGATCCATGGACCACTGGTGGGTCACGGAAATGTCCAATTGGGTAGCCAAAATTGTATACCTAATGATATAGCGGCTATATGATTCTGGAACTACACTGCTGTATAGTAAGGTAGAATTTGTACGTAACATAAATATCAGATTTTCTAACCTATAAGCCAGGAAATATCGTTTTAGTTGAAAGTTTTAATTCTGGGACATCATCATCATGTAGCAGGTCCTTTACAGAACGTCACTCTCATCAGTCTGCCTAAAAGAAATTCAGTCTCTTGCCAACACTCCCACCTTGTGTACTTTAATATTAATACTCAAGGAGTCACTTGCATCCTGTGCCCACCTTTGTGTTAGTTGGCCCCTGCCCCTCCTTCCCGGTACCATGCCTTCTGATATTATTTTTTTCCAAATCTGCCATGGTGCTTGAAACATTTAAAATATTTAAGCTTACTTATTTTGAGAATCTGTCTATAGTATTTCAAATCAAAAACCCCTATTTTCTTAAGGACTGGGAGATAGTCCACGACTCACATTTGACTGCTGAGCTCTTATTGAACTTTGCATTACTATATAATTTCATTTCCACTATCTGCTTGAGTGTTTGGTAGCGTTGTTATAACTATTTTACCTATCATGCGGGTGACCCGCGTTCGATTCTCCACTAGGTGATATAACTTGTTTTTTTAGCCCTTGTGGCATCTGGCACGTTGTGTTGTGGTTTATGGCTAGGCTGCGATATCTGACCTTAACTCTTCAGTCTTCGGTAGTATAGTTGTAAGTAATCCATCCTTCACGTGGGTGACCGGTGTTCGATTCCCTGCTGGGTGATAATTGTTCTTTCTCCCTTAAAAGGGTGGTTGCTACGTTGTGTTGTGGATTACAGCTAGGCTGCGATATCTGCACCTTTCGCCCAAAGACATCCGATTTCAGTTAAGTCCCAATTAGCCTCCCCGTGACGCTTCTCGATCAAAAATTATTCGGCAATGACAGAAACTATTAACTAAGACGGCTTACAGTCCAGTTTAGATTGGGTGGACACGGATGCCAAGGTCAGTTAAAAATCGTTCCTTCGGAGAGGGAGAAACGACAGGTGCCGGTATTTTTCTCCGCTATTCGTGAGTATAATGTACTCTTTTACTGTGGGTTCCATCACTGGTTACGTGATGAAGTTTATTTATTCTATGTCGGGGGCAAAATTAAACTAAATAGTCTGTGGCGACAGTATGCAGCGCTAACTCCTCTGGTTACACCGACCTACACAGACTGTAGTGACAGTTTTTGTTGTGGTGGTGGTAGTGGTTGTAGTAGTACTGGTACTGGATGGGTGATGTGGTAGCTGTTACACTAGCAACATTTACTTCTCAGTACAAATTAATGCTACTTATTTAAGTCTGGGTGGTCACGGATGCCAAGCTCAATTTAGTTATAATATTTCGTCACATGGTGACTTTCTCATCCTTCGGAGAGAATGATATGATTACTGGACCTTAAAACATTGTTTTAAAGTTCTCATTCTTTAACTATTTCGATTTTAATAATTTTACCAGGTGATGATTTTTCAACCATCCTTCGGAGAGGATGATATGATTAGTGGGGGGTGGGGGGGGGGAGCGAAGAGGGGGTTGATACCAGACACTGTTAAATGAGAGAGCTTAAAACATTGTTTTCAAGTTCTCATTACTTAACTATTTGTTTTAATAATTTCACCAGGTGATGATTTTTCAATCCTTTGGAGAGGGAGATACGATTGGGGAGGGACGTTATGCCAGACACAGTTAGCTGAGAGAGCTTAAAATATTCTTTTAAAGTTCCCAGTCCTGAACTATTTCTATTTTAATAATTTCGCCATGGGTGATTTTTCAATCCTTCGGAGAGGGAGATATGACTGGGTCGAGGGAAGAGGAGGGGGGGGGGGATATGACAGACCCTGTTAGCTGACAGCTATTTTCTTTCCATTCCATTTTACTATTCTGGGCCACAGCAACGCGTTTATTATATAGCCTAGATATTCAAAGTTTGTGACATTCTCAATTCCTTCATATTTATTGTTTTTTCTGGGTGATCTATGTTGTATTCTGTACATTAAAAAAAAAAATGTTCCATATTAAAGAGGTGATCCCTAGTTCCTCTACTTTGTCTTAAACCCACTTGTGCTTCATGTAGCTCATATTATAGTTTTCTTTCAATCCTCTGCCTGTTAATTCATAACAGGATTTTGCTACCACAGTGTTCAGTAAAATCTTTAGTGAACAGAGAAAAAAATCAGCAGCAAGACGATTAAAATGTTTTTGGGAGCAAAATTTCTTTTAAGAACCTATGAGGAACCATGTTTTTCTGAGTCAAAACCAATTTGTGGCCATTGGCCGAGCTGCACTCAGGTTTCTAAAGAGCTGGATGCGGCCCGCGAGCTGCAATTTGCCGACCACTGTGCTAGCGTGACTTATTAATGTAATGGTACGGTCGTTCGAGCAAAGTTTCGGATTTCCTTTCTTTGGGAGAGGAAAATAAATTGTTCTTTTCCATGCTTTAGGCCAAATGGGGCTGTTCCAGATCCCCGGACACAGTACATGGTAGATTTGGATGCTGGCCTCTCTTTCTGCCTGAATTAGTTCGGCTGGTATTTCACCACAACCTGGTGACTGTTCTTCAGATGGTAACATTTGGGACAGAAGATTTAACAAATACACCACTATCTACATTTGTATTCGGTAAGATATCAGGTGGTCTGCGAAACTATACCCTCTGTTGATCCATGGATGTAAAAAGGTTGAAGAACACTGCTTTAGCCTACCACTGTGTTAATTATTTCATTGTAAAACAGGTTATGTTGCACTGTTTCACCAAGCCTATGGCTCAGTACATCTGAATTCAACAATTTTGTTGTTGTTTAGTTAGCTTTTCTTAGTCTTTGACTGTCCCTGGTCTGTCTGCAAGGCAGCAGGTTTGTCTCTTTCCCTCCCTCTCTCTGTCCACTTTTTTTTTTTTTTCATCGAACACCGGCTGTGAATTCCAGTGGAAGGTCAAGGTTAATCGTCCGCTTGGGACTTTTGGCTTTCACCTGGACCTGATTTTTGGGTGTACAACCGTTTTTTATTTCCCTGCCTCATGGGCAGATGTACTCCGACTTCGAAGGAAGACGTCAGGCCTATTTCTAGGTTGACTGTGGCCATTGTTTTGTGTGGGTCGAGACGTTGCCTGATTTGTGTGGTGTCCACTTTGTCTCCTTCTCCGCAGGTATTGCCCACGGAGTACCCCTTTGGGGCAGCCCCCTGTGGAACAGTTAGCCCTCAAGGGAAGGCAGGGGCAGATCATGGGCCTTCCCCGCCATCCAAGGAGGCTTCCATGCATGCAGAGCCGGCACATGGCGCTCTGGTTCTGGGCTCACCCAAGGAATCGTCACGTCCTGCACATGCCTGCTTAACCTCACAACCGTATCAGGCCTCCCGCTCGACAGGGGCTGCGCCCTCTGGAAGTCAGCGGGGAGCAACCCGTGGGTTTTGGACTTATGTGACCACACAGATAGGTACATTCTTTTTCTTCGCACGTTAGATTTCTTTGACGAGCCGTTAGCCCGACAGAATTTTACATCCTGCATCAGGCATATCGTTATCAGTTTTGTCCCAACACTCAGGCGAGTGGGGTCTTTGGGTGTGGACATTCGGTCTTTTTCAGTTCAATACAAATTTTTATGGTCAGATTTTGATCCGTATGATCTAGTTTTGTCGGACAATTGGGCTTAGCCATCCGATGAATGGTTGCTGTTGTGGTGTACCTCAGCGCGGTGACGACGACCCTGAGGGTTAACCGAGGATGTACATGAATGGCCAGCCTATGGATGGTTGCTGTTGTGGTGTACCTCAGCGCGGTGACGACGACACTGAGGGTTAACCGAGGATGTACAAGGATGGCCAGCCTGTGGATGGTTGCTGTTGTGGTGTACCTCAGCGCGGTGACGACGACACTGAGGGTTAACAGAGGATGTGCAGTGAACAATGTTCTCTTTACTCCGCAGTCTTTTAACCAAGGGTTGTAATTTTGGCTGTACGTTTGGCAAACCTACTCATGTTCCTAATGAGTTTTGATAACATTTTTCACCCAAGCGTTTGGGGGCGGGCTGATGAGAGCCACAAGGACACATCACCTCTGGGGGCCGCCAAACTCCGAGATCCCCTGACAGCTCTGTTAATGCTCATTTGAGACATTATCTGTGGCGCACGACGAGGACGTGCTGCCGGGGTCTTGCGTGAGGTTGCGTACAACCAGGATAGTAAAGGACTGGCGCCCGAGTGACGTACGGAGTATCTCCTTATACACATCATGTTGGACTTAACTTCCCCTCACGCCTGTGACATAAATCACCGCGCCACTCTGTCCACTGAATAGCTTGAGAGACCCTACCAGTAGCTAAGCTCTTGGGAGTCGCTGAAACACACAAGCCCTTCAGCAACACCAAGATAAAGACTCAGAAGAAGTGTATATTATTCTACTCTTCTTCTTCTTCACAGGCTGCAAACTCCAGCAGTAAGTTCTGGTTGTTCATCCACTTTTGAAATTTGGTCTTCTTCCAGAACTTGAATTTTGTGAGCACATTCATTTTACAGATCTGGTTTATAAGTACGCAGACGGTTCCTTGCCTAGCTGGCAGATTCACTGCAACTTCGAAGACAACCCCTAATTAGTCGACTCTTATGACATGCTTGTTGCTAGCTCAAAGGTCTTGGGTTCAAATCAGCATAGAGACTGATATTTTAAGGGTCATGAGCTGCGAGCTTGGCCCAGCCGAAAATGGGTACGCGAAAATGTCCTGAAAATTACTGAAATTACTAAAAATAGCATTCAGAGGGGTTTTCATGTGTATTAATGGCATCCCAGAGTTAATAAAAAAATTTAGTCACCGTCAAAACTTATTTTTAGACTTACAGAGATGTCTCCCACTTAATTCACCGATGCATTCATTTACTCCCATATTGACTCCCCATATTATACATGGAATTTAATTCTGCTTTGGTAAAAAAACTGAACTCTTATTTTTTTGTGATATGTGTAAAATGGTTGTTGTTTAAAGGATGGGGGGGGGGGGATTCCCTAATTAAGGGTCTCGGCATTGACTTTTCTAGGTCATCAGGGCAACAGGATTAATGTTATGGGAAACATAATGTTATGGCAAGGCAGACAAGGCCCTTAGACTTGGCTGGCAATTGGTTTAGGGCAGAAGCTCAGACAGGCGGACAGGCATAGCACTTATCTTCTGATCTAGCAGCTTCAGCAGCATGTTTTGTTCTGAACGTATTGATGTTACCTTTTCTCTGAAGTTAACAAAACAGACTGAGAGAGGGATCCTGGGGCATTAGCAGCACATGGTCTCTACAATAGTGCCAGACTGTGCTATGGAGAGGAAGAACTTCATCCTGGTCTCAATTGTTTTCACCAGGGGCTGTGTTTCCCATTCCTCCCTACAGTCCAAAGGAACACTATGGTTTGGCAAGATAGAAAGGTGCCAACAACAATTAAATTAAAAAGCTGTACTGCTTAATATATATACTAAGGGAACAAATCATAAACCAAACAACCTCAATATACATGTACAAACAAACGATCCTCACCTGTGTGTAGATGACCCAGAGAATAAATATCAGAATAAGATCAAACAGGACAAACAAACAAAATGTCCGACGAACAGATGAGATCCTTCCTTCAGTCATGTGTGATGGAGTTAGAAGTGGAGCTGTGGATGTGTCAGTGACTGAAATTATGGGAGGCATTCTGAAAAGCAGAATACAAGTTTACATAAGAAACACAGCAGCCTCGAGGCCAAAATGACCACTCATTACATTCTAAAGACAAAGTACATACATATTACACTATTTTTTACAAGTCCAAGTGCACGCATATTCCATTATTTCCAAGGTTCAAAGATGCTAGACTAGATTCATTCCATGATACTGAAAACAAATGCATAGGATATATAAAAAATACCAGAATAAACTGCAAGCCGAACGTGACGTATAGTGGAGCAAAAGGATGATAATGATGAAGTTAAACGTACACACATATTTCATTACTTTCCAGTTCTAAGTACATATATATTTCGTTATTTTTTTAAACCCAAGTTCACATATATGTTATTCCCTCGAAGTCAGAGTACATCTGCCAGAGAGGCAGGGAACAAGAACGGCACAAACAAACATCAAGTAAAAGGCATGTCCACGCAAAACTCAGCTCCCGGTACAAAGAAAAAGTCCAAATGGACGAATAACAGGGACTTTTCGCCAGCATTCACAACCGGTGAACGCAAAGAAGAAGAAGACAGAAATGTTGAAATCTTTTAAAGTTGAAGTACACGTATACCATTACGCTCTCTGAGTTTCAAGTAGATACATATTTTATTATTTGTCCATGTTCAAATATACATGTATTTTCAAATTAATTCTAAGATCTAAAGTGTCATTCTTTTTTTTACATTTCAATCTTTAAACATAACCGTTTTCTCCTACATTTTAAGGTTCAGTTCGCTTATATTTAATTGCAGATATAAGTTTCCCCATTTTACAGACCAAAGCACCAGAAATAAGAAGTGAGACACAGTCTTCCAAAAACGTTATAAAACTACCATTGAATCAGTACTCGCTTAGCATTGAAAAAATTTGGACAAATTCATCTTCTTCTTCATCAGCATGCCGAGCCATTGAGATTCATTGCTGAAGATATCATCTGCTTCTATTCATCGCTCTGGTTGCCCTTCTCTTCCCAGTTGGTGACTCTTAAGTATTTGCAGGTCTGCCCATTTATTATCTCTCCATGATCTTCTTGGTCTGCCTCGTGATCTATGACCATTCAACTCTTGTGTGTACACAGTATCTGTTTCTCTGTATCTCCATACCACTGCCTCCTATCAGCCCTTCAGATGCTAGATATTAGTGGTGATTTAAACAGATTACATATTTTATTCCTGCTAGTTACTCTCCATTCTCGGTGTTTACAAGTCTGATGGGTCCAAAGATTCGTTGTTTGACACTGTTCTGAAAATTTTTTATTTTTGTAAAATAGTTTCTTCTTAGCATTCTTCTTCTTCTTCTTCACTTCCTCTTTTACCGCTGTGGGTGTCGAGGGAGATATAAGGTTCTGTTTCTAGCTCTTCAGGCCGCCTCGACCATAGGTACATCGTGCTGTTGTAGAGTTTCTCTGATGTTATCCTTGCATCTTGTTCTTGGTCTACCTCGTGCTCTACGTCCTTCTTCTCTTTCGATGTATGCTTTGTATGGTATGGTGTCACAAGGCATTCTCTCTAAGTGGGCAAACCATTTCACTTGCTGTCTTCGTATGTAATCCAGAATTGGTTCTGTGCCGACTTTTTCTCTTATGATCTCATTCCTGATCTTATCTCTTATGGTCACTCCTACAGCCCTTCTCAGACATCTCATTTCTGTGGTTACTAATTTTCTTTTATGGTTTGTTGTGAGTGACCATGTCTGGCACTGGTAGCACAGATTTGGAATAAATATGCTTTGAATAAGATGTCTCTTTGTGCTGACTGGGATGTCTTATGCTGTAAGAGGGGGGCTAGCTGTCCCAATACTTGGTTTGCTTTACTGCATCTAATGTTAATTTCTTTATTCAATTTCCCATCTTCGGTAAATGTAGTTCCCAGATATTTAAACTCAGATGCCTGTTTAATGCCTTTGCACTCTATTGCTATGTTTAGATCTGTCTTCTTTTTTTCCTACTAACATTACTTCTGACTTTTCAGTGTTGATTCTCATATTATTTGTTTTACATTCTTCATTCATGGATGTTAGATGTTGTTGTAATTTCATGGCTGTATCTGCTATCAAGGCCTGGTCATCTGCAAAGAGTAATTCGTTGATCTTACTAACATTTTTCATTCTTAGCATTCACCTACTGTAAACTCTGGGGAAAGTTCTAGTTGTTTGTCCTCTTCTGGACTTTGGTACTGTTCCAGAACTTAAGTTTTGCATGCACATCTGTTTTACAGAACGGGTTTATTATTTTATGCAGACTGTTGATTCTTTGCCTCTCAGGTAGATGCACTCTGACTTTGAAGGAAATAAGACTTCGTCTCTTTTAGTTATATTCCGACTTTGAAGAAAATAAGGCTTTGTCTCTTTTAGTTGTAATCCGACTTTGAAGGAAATAAGGTTTCATCTCTTTTAGTTGTAATCCGACTTTGAAGGAAATAAGGTTTCATCTCTTTTAGTTGTACTCCAGGTCTCAGGGCCATAAAGGATAAATGGTCTTATCAGGTAAAAAAAAACAGAAAACTGAAACGTACAAACTTACACAGTGCCAGGAACACCACTATGGATGACGCTACTTGCATACTTGTATTGCTCATCTTGGGATTGTGGTAGTTCAGCAACATCCTGCGAAGGATATGACACAGATTATCAGCAATTACCACTTTAAAGCTGACACCAATAGAGATTTAAGTGTATACACCATGCAAATCATCTTCCACATTAAGACTGAGATAACATGGTGCAGATGAACACGATGATGTCATAATGACAATTTTAAAAAGGCTGCCCCACTTCTGACATGCACCAAATAGCAGCACCTTTCTGTTATCCAATTTTTTGATCAGCGAAGGGGTGAAACCTTTAGAAATTCATCGGCAAATCAAGATCCAGTATAAGATGCAAGCCTGTCAGTCCAGCAGGTGGATGAGTGAAGCATAATCCTTCAAAACAACTACAATCAATTCTGGGGTGACTGACCCACTCATGAATGCCTGACCTAATTGCGAGCAGTCTGTCACAGCAGCGTTTCCCAAACATTTCTTAGTCACAGCGCCTTTATTCAATTAAAAATTGTCCACGGCTATTTATATGTAAGAGATAACAAAAGAATAAAACGCGCCTATCCTTAAATATTTTGCGGCGCCCCTGTGCAGAGGTCGTGGCTCTCCGGAGCGCTGCAGCACACACTTTGAGAATCACTGTGTTACAGAAGTCAGGCCGCTTTGAAACTTTCTACTCCACTCGTCCAATCTGTTCTGCAGACTGAGAGCAACTGACAAGAAAATGCCCTGGGTTTTCCACAATTATTCCTTCAGTTCAGTCATCAGGAAACATGGATACTTAGGAGAAAGTAGTGTTGCCTCATAAAAGCTGACTAAATTGGACTGTTTCCTTTTTAAGCTAGAGTGCATCTGCCTGACAGCTGAGGAACCAACAGTCTGCATACAAATAAGATAGGTCTGTGAAAGGAAAATGCACACCAAACTGAAGTTTGGGAATATGACTATAGACGTACTAGGCGAACAACCAGAATTTTCCATCATAGTCTACAGTCAGTGAACATGAAGAAGAAGAAGAAGAAATCAAGCAAAACAATAGCCACAAAAGACAAATCCCTTACAGGATAGTCACTGGATACAGCACTTACTTAACTTACACTAAGAAATTAATCCAATGAATTAGGACAAAAGCTCAATGTCAGTGGAAAGAGAATAACATATAGTTTTTCATGTAACTTTCATGTGTGGGACCTGCTAGCCAGGATACTTTGTCAGCTATCCTCCGAATAATGGTACCAAATGATTGTACATTATTATAACCTAACAGGGCCTCAGTCACATTTAAATTGTGGACCTCTTCCATACAGCATACCACGGAAAAGCTTCCGCCGAGAGTATCTCCCGCGTTGCGCGGGGCTAAACTAGATGGCTGGGACTCACGAGCAGCAGCTACCGCATCTCCTGTAGCTTCCTTCATTTTATTTGCTTGTGAGTCCCAGCCATCTAGTTTAGTCCCACTCTGCGCTGTGCGTAGCAGGAGATACTCTTGGCGGTTTGCTGTGAAGTCGCCGGAAGAGGTTTGCAATTTACATGTGACAGAGGCCCTGTTAGGGTATATTTTCGGCCTTGATAATTTAGGACCGTTATTCAGAGGATAGCTTACTTTGCCCTTTGTGCTGCTGTTGGGTTCTGTGAGAGAAAGATTCCAGCTGAAGCGTCAATTTTTGTGTGTGTTAGCATTGTTCCCCTTTCCCCCATTTTTTGAGCTTCTTAGTCCCAGTTCACCGGATTCATTTACTGATAAACCTGCATAGGGAGCTACCATGGTGTAGCGGCTAGATGCTCACATCCTAATCGGAAGGTAATGGTTTCTGGTCCTGATGGCACTGGACTTTTTTCAAAAATGACTTTGGTTCCTAGGTTGAACCAGCCATAAATTGGTACCAGGTAAAATCCTGGGATATAAAGGCGGCTGGCGTGATGGTGACTAAATCATGCACCGAGTGCTGATTGGTCTACAAAATATAGGTTGAACCCTATATGCTAAATATGCTTGGAGGCCTGAAATAGAAAGCTTTACTTTATAAGCCGGACTGCAGACACCCCTGTTTTATCAGCTGATACTACTTACAGCATTAATAGACATTCCTGGTCTCAGGCAAATCTCTCTTGCAGGCTGCTTTCTATGGGTACATTATTCTGCAGTTGTGAATTACCAAGGTCAGCAATACTCTGATTATCATGATGATGTCCTAGACAGAAATAAACAGCTAGAGAATAGGAAAGAATGGCCCCAAAACAAATGTTATAGTTTAACTTGAACATTTTTAAAGTCTCACATCCACATAATGATGTCGAACAGTGCTCTTTTAATGTAAGTTATAAATTTTAGTTTATCCTCCAAATAACGGTCCCAAAATATCGAGGCCGAAAATATAACTTAACAGGGCCTCAGTCACATGTCAATTGCAGACTTCCGGTGACTATATCGCCACCGCCGAAAGTATCTCCCACGCCATTATGCGTAGCGTGGACTGGGGCTAAGCTAGATGGCTGAGACTCACGCAAGAGCAAATAAAATGAAGGAAGCTGCAGCCTGCAGTGCAGAGATGAGGTAGCTGCTTCTTTAATGGGAGATACTCTCGGCGGTGGCGGAAGTCGGCAGACGTGCGCAATTTTAGTCGCCGGATGCAAGCGTTTGGCATGTGACTGAGGTCCTGTTAGGGTATACTTTTGACTTTCAGCTTCGATAATTTGGGATCGTTATTCGGAGGATAGCCTAAATTTGTTTTTTAAAAAAAAAAACAAGTGTTTTAAGATTTTAAGTTTAAGTGTTGAAATATGCTTAAACAATTCGATCTGTTACGCTTGTTACTGACAAGTGAACCCCGAGCGATCCGTGTAAAACAACACAAAATAGATCACTAACGAATGATGGTGAGATCACTGAAAGACGAAGTTAGTAATAGTTAGATGGAAACTAAAGGTCAGTGCTCAGTGTACCTAACTAAAAAAGCACTTTCACTTTCACTTACTTAAGGGACTACCTATCGACACTGTCGTGGTCCTAACCACAAGAATTATAACTTATCTAATACTACAGACTTCCAGCTATATTAAAATTTTGTGTCCCATAAACATATCTTTGATGAAAGCAAATGCTAGTGAACTGTTGCAAATAAGGCTTTCCAGATTACTACTATCTGTGTCCGGTTCTAGGAAATTGTGAGCCTTCCTGATTCAAAATACAGTGGGTGCATTACTTTGTACTGCAAGTGTGTATACAATAAAAAAAAAATCTCAACGTCTCATCATCAGGTGCCTTGTCGACTGGCGTGGGCGATCATGCCTCTCCATAATCTGCGATCTCCTGCAGCATGTATCAGTTCGTGTGCCGACACACCTCCATGCCATGCAACAAGACTGTCAAGCATCTTCTTTCGTTGTCTTCATCTATCCCTCCTTCCACAGATCTTTCCAGTGGTCACAACATGTTCTATTTTCCCTCTTCTCATAACATGGCCGAAAAATGATGACTGTCTCCTTCTGATGTCTGTGATAAGTTGCTTTAGGGCTCCCGCCTCTTTCAAAACCTTTTGGTTGCTCTTTTTGGCTGTTCAAGGTATTCTAAGCATTCTTCTGTAAAACCACATCTCTGAGGCCTCTAGAAATTGTTTGGCCTGCCTACCGATTGTCCAGGATTCACAGCCATATGTTAAAACTGGATGTATGTATCAAGCAAGAATTCTTTTTCTAACTCTCAATGACAAGGATATATTGCAGAAGATGTTTTTCATTTTATAAAATGCAGTTTTTGCCTGTCCTATTCTGTTTCTTATTTCAGTTATGCATCTTCCATCTGATGTTATCCATGTGCCCAGATACTTATATTTCTGAACTTGTCCTAAAATAATACCATCGACTTTTATTACACATTTAGGAATAATTCGTTTCTTTGATACCACCATTACTTCTGTCTTCCCATTATTCAAACTGAGGCCCATTCTTCCACTTTCTAACATCACAATGTATATCATTTCCTGTAGTTCTTTCTGACTTGTTGCTATCAAGACTGTGTCATCAGCATAACGTAAACTGTTTATATTGTGCCCACCAACCACAATTCTGGGCATATCAATTAAAGATCTCATTATATATTCACTGTATATTGAAAACAAAACAGGTGACTGTACACATCCTTGTCGTACGACCCGTCTTTATGCTTTGAAATGTATCTAAACAGTTGTTAATTCTTATAGCTGCTGTTTGCTGCCAATACATATTCTTTATTATTCGTAGATCTTTCCCATCAATGTTTAATTTTTCTAACAGTTTGATTACTTCTTCATGCTTCACACAGTCAGCTGCTTTTGTATAGTCTATGAAGCATAAGTACAAATCAACGTCTACTCAGGTTATTCCCCTGGTCATGGTTGGTTAGTTAATCGCCCCTCATCGAACATCGGACAAGTATATTAGAGCTCGGATCCCGTCTTAACTATCCTACATCGGCAACCGGGTCGCCAGTGGCTCGCCAATAGACGACTTCTTCGCAGATAGGGTCTGTCTCCTTTAATCACATCGACACTGCAGGAGTCCTTTTCAGAGCTCTTGGTGGCGTGCAATGCTAAGCCATTTTATACGTCACAGTTATAACCGAAAGCTCCCCCTTCGGGGGATTTTTTTTTACCTACCTACCGTTTTCACTATCTCCATTAGCGTGTGGCGACTTTTAACACCAGTTCTGTATCGGTCTGCTATTCTTCTTTGGCTACCTCTGTCTATAGTGTTCAAGTAAAGCAACGCCTCTGTTGACATGGTGTTGTAGTCCTGTCTACGTTGCCGATTCATATTCGTCTACTGAAATACCAACTTCCCCCTGCCACCTTCAGATCATTGAGAACATCGATCTGGTCCATGATTTCTCTTGTGTCTGCGGTGACCCTGTCATCAAGTCAGTCCACTCCGTCATACCCTCATACCTGAAAGTGTCCTGATCTAAAAAAGAAACTGTTTTTCCTGTCAGACGAGATTTAGTCAGAGACTCCAGCCATCGTCTTCGATCCCATCCAGTCTCGATCTTCTTCAGAATTTCATGGAATCAGAGAGCACTCGTTGGGAAACTGTCTCTAGCTAGAGCTTTGCTTTTGCTACCATCATCATCTCCATAGTCAAACTACGTGTATAGTCAAGCTAAAAGCACCACTATTTTCCTTTGCATGCTCTTATAACACGAAACTCCGATTAAACACATTATGTTACATGAAATAGGAAAGATATGTAGATGGACAATCGGATATTATGTTATATGAAATAGGAGAGATATGTAGATGGACAATCGGATATTTTGTTACATGAAATAGGAGAGATATGTAGATGGACAATCTGACATTATGTCACATGAAATAGGAGAGATATACGGATGGACTATCGGACATTATGTCAAATGAAATAGGAGAGAGATACGGATGGACACTCGGACACGATGTCACTTGAAATAAGAGAGATATACAGATTGACAATCAGAAATTATGTTACACGAAAAAAGGGAGAGATATACTGATGGACAATCGGACATTATGTTTTATGAAATAGGAAAGGTATGTAGATCTACAATCGGACATTATATTGCATGAAATCAAGGATAAAATACAGTGTCGGACAACCAGTTGCACGAAATGGAGAGAGCAGATGGACATTTGGGATTTTTCTAACCATAAAAAAGTGGAGATGTAATTGAACAGTTGGACATTTTATTACATGAAATAGGAGAGACAAACAGATGGACACAATATCCTTTCGGATATAGCAGACAGGGTGACTAAGACAAAATTGTAATCATAAAGTCAAACATCAAGCATCACTCGTCAACTTATCTCTCCTCCTTTGTCACTATCTAAACAACACACACTGCGCCATCACAGCAACAACATGTGGTATGTCTGCATGTGTCCCATCTGGAACAACTCCATCGTGTTTACAATTACCAAGGTAACCAGACCGAGTGGTAGAAGCTATATTGTCTCATTTAGACCTGGGGAGAGTTCCTTGTAGCCGATTGACAAGAGCGACCACTTATCAAACTTCAGCAAACATGATTTTGTTATTTTCAGATATGAGGTAGCTTTCAACGAGTGCGGTCAAAGATTAACATTTTATGTACTAAGAGATAGATAAATATTTTTTTATATGCTCCCCTGTCGGCGTCTGCTCCTTGGGAGTTGCGAAGGCGCTTCGTAATGCCGGGGTGCCAGTTTCAATCTCAGCTGCAGGCGATTTGGCAGCAGGTCGTCTTGCGTTGGTTTCTACAGTAGTATCGAGTCGACCGTACAATGGGGAGCTGTAAGCCACTTAATGTAAAATTTGCCTAGAAAAACCACAACAGCCAAAAAATGTTGGGATTGGCTCTGCGACGTCCTGTAAAGGAGACGCAACTTACTGTATATGTTCACCTAGGCTAAGAAAAGACCCTTTTTCTCCCCTGGAATAACAGGTGCTGGACCACACTACAAAGTGTCTAAACGGCTAAGGTATGTTCGCCAGCTCTCTAGCTTAATGTCCCTTTCCTTAAAGACAGACTGCTCCTGTCTTTTATATGTGCCAGTTTGTTTCTCCTGCCCTTCATGTGTGCTAGTGTGTTTCCCCTGCCCTTCATGTGTGCTAGTGTGTTTCTCCTGCCCTTCATGTGTGCTAGTGTGTTTCTCCTGCCCTTCATGTGTGCTAGTGTGTTTCTCCTGCCCTTCATGTTGACTAAGATGTTAATTGCACCAAAACTATGTGGGCTTGGGTTTCTCCCGAGCAGTACTGTATTGGACTGGTTTCTTCTAGTCATGTTGACTAAGATGTTGGGGGAGTGGGGGGCTGGTATGCACAGTGTTATACATACAGGGGGTGGGATCTACATATATGGGATATATATATATATACACACACACATATATGCATTTCCACGTTGGAATGCATGTAAACTTGTCTGCATATGCACACATACACTCAAAGGAGCCGCCGTGGTGTAGCGGTCAGACGCTCGCCAGCCGATCAAAAGGTCATGGACAGATCCTCACGAAGCTGGATTTTTTTTAAATGATCCTAGCTTCCAGCTTGATCCTCTAATTGGTACTAGTGTTATATATGATATACCTCATA